TATTTTCACATTTACTTGCTCATTCATAACCTTATTTAATTTTATTAATGTAGGACCAAGAAATTTAAATGCCATCGATAGAGGAAAAAGAAAAGTATTTGAAGATGATGATGAAGTTGAATTGATTGAAGGTGGGGAAGAGGAAGAGGAAGAGGAAGAAGAGTTTGATGAAGTGACTATGGTAGATGATGATGAAGATGATATTGACCTTGGAGATGATGAAGATTGAAATGAAGAAATGAAGGCTTTTTGGAATTTTTAACTTTGTCTAATCTAACTTTTGTTTTGTATGGTCTCTTTTTGACACAAGTTACTTTACAAGTATAGATTAGAGTTTTGAAAAGTTTAGAACTTGTTAAGTTGTGAACCTTATTCATGATGAATGTGAATTGCCATACATATATGTTGTGATGTGAATTTACATAAATTATATCATAAATACATAAATATAATATAGGATCATAGATCACGGTGGGGCTCGGACCCACATCTCTTGCCATAGAAGCGTCTTACTTATTTAGACCACGTGATCATCATGTAAAATAACATTTTTATTACTTTTAAATCTAAATATTTCATATTTATAATATTTAAGTGTATAAATATGTTTTTTTTATGTAATTTAGAAAACGTAAGTGAATCTTTACGATTCACGATTCGATTCGCGATTCGGTACATGGCCATTTCGATTCACGGTTCGAATCCCGATTTGACAACTATGGATGAGAGATTTTGACTCGTTCATACGAGAGTGTGAGTTGGTGGATCCTCCTTTGTGTAATACCAGATTTACTTGGTCTAATCTCCAAGAGAATTTGGTGTGTTGTAGACTAGATAGATTTTTATATTCTTTGGGATGGGATGGGGTTTTTCCCAATTCAAAACAAGAATCGTTGCCTAGAATAGTTTCAGATCATTGTCACGGCTGGGAAGGTTTTAAATTTATGAGAAAGTTGAAAATGGTCAAGGAGAAGGTAAAGTGTTGGAATAGGGAGGTGTTTGGGATTTTGGAATCTTCAAAAAAGGAGGTGATGAGTAGAATAGTAGAGTTAGATGATTTGGAGACACATGGGGGTTTAGTTGAGTCATTGAGAAAGGAAAGATCCGAGTGTAGATTGAAACTGGAGGAGTTGACTTTTAGGGAGCAAATTCATTGGGCTCAAAAAGCAAAGATCAAATGGTTGAAGGAAGGGGACGTTAGTTCAAAAAAATTTCACAAGGTTGCAGATGGGAAAAGAAAAAAGAAGTTCATCAAGAGATTAGAATTAAATCCAAGGGTTGTGGAGGACAGGGAGAATCAGATTGTCAGTGGCATTTATGAGTTTTATTCCCAACTTTATTCGAAGGAAGAGATGAGTAGACCGGGGATTGAAGGACTAGAATGGGGAACCATTGATCCGGAAATTACAATATGGCTTGAAAGGCCTTTTGATGAATCAGAAATTCGAGAGGCGGTTTTTGATTGTGAGAGAGATAAAGCTCCAGGTCCGGATGGTTTTTCTATGGCTGTCTTTCAAGATTGTTGGGAGGTGGTGAAAGGGGATTTGTTGAGAGTGTTTTTGGAATTTTATGAGTCCGGAATTGTTAATTTGAGCTCAAATGCCACATTCATATGTTTAATTCCTAAGAAAGTCAATGCTGTTAGAATTGGAGATTTTAGGCCTATTAGTTTGGTAACGTCATTGTATAAGATCTTGGGAAAGGTTTTATCAAAAAGACTTAGGATGTCTTTAGGGGATACGGTGTCTAGGGTGCAAGGGGCTTTTGTGAAAGGTAGACAAATTTTAGATGTTGCCTTAGTGGCAAATGAAGTAGTGGAGGAATATAGGAGTTCAGGGAGGGAAGGGCTTATTTTTAAGGTTGATTTTGAGTAGGCATATGACAATGTGCATTGGCAATTTTTAGATTTTGTTATGGATAAGAAAGGATACGGCGGGAGGTGGAGATCTTGGATTAGGGGTTGTTTGTTGACCTGCAATATGTCAGTTATAGTTAATGGGAAACCAGGGGAGTGTTTTAGGGCTTCGAGAGGACTTTGACAAGGGGACCCTCTTTCTCCCTTCCTTTTTATTTTGGTGGCGGATGTTTTGGGTAGGTTGGTTGATAGAGCTAAAGAAACAGGTCTTGTAGAGGGGTTGGAGGTGGGGCGGGATAGAGTTAGTGTGACCCATTTACAATATGCGGATGATACTATCTTTTTTTCTACGGGGGATGAAAATAAGATATTCAACTTGTATTCGGAGCTTGCTGTAGTAGGCGGTATTTGGGATTGGGACTGAATGAATTGTGCTCTAAATTGTCTATATTTGTGTGTTTGGTTGAGTCAGGTTGACCATGAACAGTTTTGTGGTTTAAGGAGTGAAGCTTTTTGGACTCCAGTAATGGAAAAGATTGGCAAAAGATTGGACGGCTGGAGCAAGGCTTTATTATCTCGAGGGGGAAGGTACACTTTGGTTAAGACTGTTTTGAGCGGAATTCCTATCTATTATTTATCTTTGTTCAAGATTCCGGTTAAGGTGGCAAGGTCAATAGAAAAGTTGATGCGGGATTTTCTTTGGGAAGGTAAGGATGAGGGAAAAAAGGATCATTTGGTGAATTCGGAGGTGGTGTCGTTATCTAAGGAGAAAGGGGGTTTGGCTATCGGTAACATTGTTGCTAGGAACTTGGCCCTTCTTGGCAAGTGGTTATGGAGATTTCCACTGGAGATTGATTCATTATGGCATTCGGTTATTAGAAGCAAATATGGGATTCAGGACAATGGTAGGGATTCACGAGTGGTTTTACGGGGTAGTTGCCGTGCTCCTTGGAAGTCAATTTCTCAAATTTTCACATGTTGGTCTCGACATCTTTCTGTAAGGGTGGGTAATGGGGAAGTTGTTTGGTTTTGGGAGGATGTTTGGATGGGTCAATCTTCTTTTGCCGCGGATTTTCCACATCTTTATCGAGTGGCTCGTTCTCATAATTCTTCAATTGCTTCCATGGCTTGCTCTCTGTTAGCTCCAATTGCTTGGAACTTTGATTTTTCTCGAAATCTTAATGATAGGGAGGCTTCACAGTTGGTTTCTTTATTATCTAGAGTTGATCACTTTTCTTTATCTCCTCTTTTGGAGGATAAGAGGGTTTGGGCACTTCATTCGTCTGGCATATTTTCTTGCAAGTCTTTTTTTGACTACATCATCGATAATCCTCAAATCCCTCAATTCCCTTTTTGTAAAAAAGTTTGGAAGGCTTGTGTTCCCTTAAAGGTAAAAGTGTTCATGTGGGCCTTGATTCATGGGGGAATTTTGACCAATGATACATTGCAGACAAGGAGACCAAATCGTCTTTTAAATCCTTAGTGGTGTATTCTGTGTTGTAAGAGCGGGGAATCTGTGGATCACTAGAAGAGGATGAGGCATCCTCTGAATACAAAACAGTGAGAAGACAACAAGAAAAAGCTCCTAACCGACTAAAAACAATCAAAAACTTACAAAGCACACACCGCTAACCAATCTCTAACTAACAAAAAGAGTGGAACTCCTTTAAATAAAGAGTTCCCCGACGCCCAAAAAGAAGATAAGTGACAAACATGATCCCATAAACAATCCACCTCCCGAAATTTATCTTCAAAAAGGAGCGTGCATATGCTTGTAATTGATTTTCATACATTTGGAGGATCGAAGAGAGCCAAAATTTTATGGACTTGTGTAGTCTTTGCGACCTTTTGGGTGCTATGGTGGGAGCGTAATCAGAGGTCCCAGACAGTTTTTGAATTTTTGGGTCTACCAAATGATAAAATGACAAAAATGACAAATTATTAGGAGAGAGGAACAGTTTTGAAAATAATTTGTCAACCCCCTAAACCCGGAATGGGAGCAAAACCGGTGACCCGAACCGGGTCGGGAGGGTCGGCCCGTTTTTTTTTATTATTATTCTTTTCTTTGCTTTTTCTTGTTGTCTTCTTACTGTTTTGTATTCAGAGGATGCCTCATCTTCTTCTCTCCTTTTTCAGTTTTATTAATAAAGCTTTTGTTGTTGATCAAAAAAAAACTGAAAAGAAAGGAAATTAGGATGGATGTAAGCTAAAATTTGGCTTACTTGACTAAGTTTTTCTAATTTTTTGAAACGGACTGAACAAGCTTTAAAAATATTTTTATCTTATCTTCCTAGATTTACTCAGCAGCCAAATGGAGGGACATTGAAATTATTTACAAAACTAGTGGATTAACAAAAGGGAAAATTCCTGTTGTTTCCGTGAACTTGGACAGATATTATCTTTGTACTATGTTTATGTGTGAACTCATTTAAGATATTTTGAAGTATGATAATATAGTGGTGGCAGTTGTAGGTGGACTCTCCTTGTATCCTACATGCATATACTAGTTTCTTAAAAGATCTTGAAACATATCAGCTAGGGTTGGATGTGACTCAAGTGTTTGGTTAGCACATTATGCCTTTCAGATCAAATTTGGATGGAAGATATAGTCTTTGCTTAAAGTTGATACCAACTATGGGCTGGTTTAACAGTATGCTAGCCGCCCAAAAACAAGTTTGAACTTCACTGGAACAGTTTTTGAATTATCCTAAACAAACACTAGAAATTTAGGGGTCGTTTGGGCTTTGGCCTTTTTATGCGAAAACATGAATGGTGTGTTGGACTTGCTTTTTTTCAAACTTCAAGTGAAGAATGTTTTTGTGCTTTTCTCATTGTGACTGATTGTATGTCTGCTCACAATCTATTCACTCAAACAAATGATAATCTAAAATGTAGTTTTTGCTTTCTATTAGTAAAATAAGTTTGATCTTTTTTTCATCATCTTTCTTGGGTAAACTTCCTGGAAGGATTTTAAACATGATATTTTGTTGCTTTTATTAATGCTGTCATTAAGTTGGCAGAGAAATGTGCTCAAATTTTCTAGTCAGGTGCATAACTGTGTTTTAACATAATAAAGGAGCTTCATCTTTATTGTTCTATTTCTCTCTTGAAGTACAAGATAGTTGACTTGATTAATTTATGGTAGCATATCATATATAGGCATGTATAAAAACCAATTACAAGAATTGGCTCAGAGAAGCTGCTTCAACCTGCCGGCTTATTCATGTATCCGAGAAGGTCCAGATCATGCCCCCCGATTTAAAGCCACTGTCAACTTTAATGGAGAGACATTTGAAAGCCGCACGTTCTGTTCTACCTTGAGGCAAGCAGAACATGCTGCAGCAGAGGTAGCTCTGACCACACTTGCAAACAGAGGCCCCTCTAAAGCCTTGGCTGCAAGAGTTTTGGTGAGTGTTTAATTGAGTTTGTTTCCCATTGTTTTATTGTCTTCTGTACTTCACTACTTAGTTTGGTAGGTCGTTTTGATCATAAACTAGAATGTTTCATTGTCTTTTGCCATCAATTTATGGAAAATACCCTTTGTTGATGCAAAAGTTAAGGAAACAAAATGGAAATGAAGACTTAACATTTGACATATTGACCAACATAACTCTAATGTTTGAAATAATTATCAGGTTCTAGCTGAATTAAATAGAGCAGCATAATTAACAGTCATTTTCTTTAACCTGATTTGTGGGCTTTTGATTCATTTTGGGCTTCTTTGGTTTAATTACATAATGTTATTTATTAGGTTAATTAAAGGAAGGCATTGTGCTGATATGGTGTTGGTGACGGTAAAACCAACACGGAGTTTAATTAAGCGACAGTAATTAAATAATGCAATACCCAATTTATTAGTGAAGAGTCAACTTGTTGACCAAGCAATGATTGTGTCCAAAATGTAGGGGGTTAAACCAGCTCAAGTGCTCACACGGATAGCTTCGCCATGACAAATAGGACTTGTCAGAATTGACGGAACGTAATTCGGACCCGTAGGTTGGGAGTTAGAGCTGAATACGCCCTAAACTTAGTCGAAAAAGGCCGTTTCGGGGGCGAAAAATCAAAACAGCCCCCGAACCACCGTGTGGTTCACACGGACAGTTCCCCCACAACAAATAGGACTTGTGAGAATTGGCGGAACGTAATTCGGACCAGTAGGTTGGGAGTTAGAGCCTAATACTCCCTAAACTTAGTCGAAAAAGGGCGTTTCGGGGGCGAAAAATCAAAGCAGCCCCCGAACCACCGTGTGTCTCACACGGATAGCTTCGCCATGACAAATAGGACTTGTGAGAATTGACGGAACGTAATTCGGACCCGTAAATTGGGAGTTAGAGCCAAATACGCCCTAAACTTAGTCGAAAAAGGACGTTTCAGGGGCGAAAAATCAAAACAGCCCCCGAACCACCGTGTGGTTCACACGGACAGTTCCCCCATGACAAATAGGACTTGTGAGAATTGGCGGAACGTAATTCGGAACCGTAGGTTGGGAGTTAGAGCCGAATACGCCCTAAACTTAGTCGAAGAAGGGCGTTTCAGGGGCGAAAATTCAAAACAGTCCCTGAACGACCGTGTAGCTCACACGGATAGCTTCGCCATGACAAATAGGACTTGTGAGAATTGACGGAACATAATTCGGACCCATAGGTTGGGAGTTAGAGCCGAATACGCGCTAAACTTAGTCGAAAAAGGCCGTTTTGGGGGCGAAAATTCAAAACAGTCCCCGAACGACCGTGTATAGCTCACACGGATAGCTTTGTCATGACAAATAGGACTTGTGAGAATTGATGGAACGTAATTTGGACCCGTAGGTTGAGAGTTAGAGCCGAATACGCCGTAAACTTAGTCGAAAAAGGGCGTTTTGGGGGGCGAAAATTCAAAACAACCCCCGAACCGCCATGTGGCTGACACGAACACGTTCCCCATGCGAAATACGACTTGTGACAAATGACGGAATGTTATTCGGACCCATAGGTTGGGAGTTAGAGACGAATACGCCAAAACTTAGTCGAAAAAGGGCGTTTCGGGGGCGAAAATTCAAAACAGCCCTTGATTCGCATTGTGGCCGGCACGAACAGCTTCCCCATGCCAAATATGACTTGTGACAACTGACGGAATGTTATTCGGACCCGTAGGTTGAGAAAATGCAACTTGTAATATTGCATGGTTACAAATGCCAATACAAAACAAAGAATGTTAGGATCATATAAATGTTAGTGATAAATGAGGGAAAATATGTCACTTCATCTTCTCATTATGTGAATATTGTGTTAATGCTTACAAATTTTCTCAGTGCATGTCGAATATCTAATTCTAGTGTCTGTCTAGATTAATTGGGGGTGAATTGAGATGATTCCCTGTTTACAAGTATCCCATACTTTTTGGGTATTTTAAAAACAGACAGTTTAAATAAAAAAAGACCATTGACAATTATGAGAACTAAATCTTCATCATTCACAGGAGAAGCAACTAATGCCAATTGATCTGCAATAGCTTTGATATTTGACAAATACTCCTCCATAGTGGATCCTTTTTTTGTCAAACGACCAAGCTTATTCTTTAACCGATGGATGTGTGATCGAGATAAGGAAGTGAATCTCTTTTCAAGAACAGACCAAACCTCACAACTGGTTGTGCAATGGAAAACAGTGGTGAAAATTGTTGGAGATAGGGTTGCAGTGATGCAACTCAGTAAATGTGCATCAATGGTTAACCATTGTGCATGTTCTAGATTCAGAATTGTTTTATTGCTTGAATCAATTACAGTAGGAGAAGGACAGATCTTCGATCCATCAACATAACAGAGGAGTTTTGTTGCTTTAAGTAGATTAAGCAATTGATTCTTCCAGATGATGTAGTTGGATGAATTCAACTTAACAGTCACAAACGAACTGAGGAGAATCAGCATCAGCCATTGATGAAGACATTTGTGACTCTGTCAATGATCACAAATCTTTTTGTATGGAATTATTATTTTGGGTTGGATTATATTTGGTTTGTATAGAATTTGATGTTACAAGACCAAATTTTTGGATGGTTGAAAGTGAAATAGAAATAGACATATGTATTGTTTTGTTTATATATAGGGTGCAGGTTGCACGAAATAAATACAGGTTGTGCAGAAATTAATAATAATAAAAAAAAAAACACTAAATAAAGTTTTTGGTGACTAAATGTTTAGTAGCCAAAAAAACAAAATAAAACTTGTTGGTTACTAAAAATTTAGTAGCCAAAAACAAACCAAAGATTTTTTTGCAACTAAAAATTTAGTAGTAAAAAATATATAAGACTTTAGGCGACTAAATAGTTTAGTAGCTAAAAAAAAATATGAAAATTAATTTTTTTTGGCGACTAAATATTTAGTAGCTAATAATAAATGATACTTTGGGCGACTAAAAGTTTTAGTCGCTGAAAATGAAAATTAATTTTATTTGAAAATTTTTGACGACTAATATTTTGTCGCCAATTTATGATTTTTGGCTACTAAAAAATATTTAGTCGCCAATACCTCATACTTTTCCCTACTAAAACATTAGTAGCCATTTATAGGACTTTTGGCGACTAAATTTTTTTTAGTCGCCAAAACCTTCCCCGACCGTTTTCCCGAGACAAATCTAGCAACCAAAATATTTAGTCGTGAAAAGGCTTCGGCGACTAAAAACTTTACTTTTGGCGACTAAAACTTTAGTCGCCAAAAGTGCATTTTCTTGTAGTGTGTGTATACTAATATGACCCATTCTAAGGGACAATAGACTCCAAAATTTGTGACCCCATAACCCCCAATTGATTTGTAACACTCATTATGTTTTTTTTTTTCCCTCTCTCCTCCCTTTCTCTCTCACAAATGTGTGGGGGTGTGGGGTCCGAGGGTCTGTAGCGGGGCTGCATTCTAAGGTCTTGTTTGGAAAGTAAGCTATTTGGCTATTTTAGCATGGCTAAAATCTTGTGTTTGAGAAGTTAATTGGGTTTTTTTTTTTTTTTCAGTTGCTTTGATGGTTGTGAGAAAAAAGTAAAATTATTATGGGTTAGGTTAGATGTCTTATTAGTTATTTTAGTTTATTTTGTATTTCAGTGGGCTATTTTTGCCCAACCAACTTCCCAAACAAGGCTTAAACACTATCCTTTGAGTGATGCTTTCGTGTTTCCTCTGAATCTCCATTGACATGTCTATTGATTGGGATTAGGGTTTTATGTGCATTTATTACCATAGTCTGATTCTTTTAAAACTAAATTTTCAAAACCAATTAATTTTAAACTTAAGCTCTGAAAATATTTTTCATGTAAATTGATTTTGCACAAAAGGAAAAAAAAAATTCTTTTTATTTTCCAGTTATTTGGTTGACACTTCAAACAACCACTTTCTGTTGTATGCATTGGGTAGAAGTCAACAAAGAGTCTTTGAGTTCTGAAAATATCAATGTATTGAAAGCATAGTTGTTAAATCGTTTTGAATTGTGAATCGAAATGAGATTGTACCGAATCGCGAATCGAATCGAATCGTGAATCGTAAAGATTCGGTCACTTTTTTTAAATTACATAGAATAATATATCTACACACTTAATATTAAATATATCTAATAAATACGAAATACTTAAACTTAAATCAATGAAAAATATTGTTTTAAATGATGATCACGTGGTTTAAATAAGAAATGATGATCATGTGGTCTAAATAAGAAGTTAACACGGGTTCCCATATGTACCACTTCACATCTTCCCTTTTAGCTACTATTTCTTATTAACCATTCTTAATAAAGAAAGCAAACAAAGATAAATTTTCAATTTTCAAGTAACAATAACTCAACAACAACGTTTTTTTTTTTAAACTTTTTACAAGGTTGAAAAACCAAAATCTTTAATTTTTTTTCTAAAATCTCACTTGATGACTTCAAAAAATTCATTTTATAAATGCAAGTACTTAGATAAAATTGAATATGTAAGTTTAGAATATTGTAGAGAGAGAATTTATTTATTTTTGCTAAGGTTTGAGTATTTGAGAGTAAATAGCAAGGTTGTGTGGCTGATTCGGTTGTGTGAACCCTTTTCCAAAAATAAAAAAGCAAAAAAAGAAAGCCAAACATCGATTTTAGCAATTCACGATTCATCGATTCGGTTCATCGATTCACTAATTCGGTTCACCGATTCACCTACGATTCATAGCTATTTGCGATTCACACAACCTGTTCGTATCGATTGCCCATTGAATCAAATCGTATGATTCGAATTGCGAATCGTACGATTCTAATAACAAAGATTGAAAGAGCTAAGCTGGAAGTGAACTTTTTAAGAAAATTGACTTTGTGAAATTTTTAATGGTAAGTCATTTTGGGGATTATGATGAAAAATACCTTTTCTCAATAAATATGTTACTTTTTATTCAACCAAACAATGAAAAATGTATAAAATATTTTTGAGAAAATATTTTAAGTCGAAACAAACAGAGCCTAGATAAACTTATTTTTTAGATGTGTTGTGTTGTGTACGGTTAGGTGGTTGGTTTATGTTGTGTTTGGTTTGATTTTTCCAAAAACCTTTTTTAGATGAGTTCTTGTTTATTTTTAGTGATTTTTTTTATAAATATTTTAATAAAATTTCTTTTACTTTTTAGATGCACCTAATTGAGATGCATCTAAAAAGTAAAAGCAAATTGACTAAAATATTAAAAAAATACTAAAGAAAACAAAAATTCGAACAAATATCTGTATGCATTTTTGTTCGGGTTTTTGTTTGTTTTTAATATATATATATATTTTTTTCATATTGTAGTTAAAAAATTTTACTTTTTAGATACATCTAATCTTGATGTATCTAAAAAGTAAAAAAATTGGCTAAAATATGAAAAAAAATTAGTAAAGACAAAACGAAAACATATCTAAAAATAATTTATGAAAACTATAACCAAATGTTTTATAAAGTTGTCATGACTTCAATAATTTTAAAGCCGTGAGTCTTCAACTTTAAAGCAAACATGACTTCATGAAACAATATGAATTTGAGAATTAAGTTTAAAACTACTTGAATTTGAGATTTAAAAAAAATAAATAAAATAACATGCTTTTGGTCAAAAAACTTCTGAACTCAACTAGGTTGGGCTTTATGAAATTGTTACCAATGTGTGTGTGTGTTCTGGTAATATAAGTTGTCAGCAATGTTTCAGGTTGTTTTTCGTGGCAATTTCTTGTTCTTAGTTTCTTATTTTTATGAGAGCAAATTATGCGCTGTCATAAAAAATATATATATGGGATTATTATGCATAAGTTAACAAATGTTAATTCTATTAAATGAAAAATTTGCTTCTACCGCCTATATAAAAAAAGTTATTTACTGATCAGTCAAAAGCACAAGGAACAAGTCATATTTGCCTATATATGTCTCTTCTCCATGCAGAGTCCTCCTAGGATTCATTCTCCTAAGGATAATGCTTATCCTTTTACACCCTCCCCCACTGCTTAAACCAAGTGGGATGGTTTTCTTTATGGCCGAACTTCCATTTGACCGAAGTAAAATTGGCTATACCGAGCCACAGAGGGCCGAACTATCCTTAGCTCGGTCTTCTCCTCTAACTCCTTACTTCGGCTGCCCTGTTCAACCTTAGTGTGCTTGGACCGAAACAACGACTCTTGACTGGTATAACTCCAAGGCCGGTGCACCTCTAAAGCCGATGTAGACTTCAAGACCGGTCTAACTCCAAGCTGTTCCAGGACCGAAGTATATTTACAACCTCTCAACCGAAGTAACCTCATCTCTTTTGACCGGAGTAACTTTGCCGGAGTAACCTTGCTCTCCTGGGCCGGAGTACCCTTTACGGCCTTTTTTACTCAGTCCTTCGCGTTTTGGGCCTCAAAACCCAACTCGTAGCTCGGCCTAATTTTTCCCAAAAATTACCCTCTCAACACCCTAAGGTAATTCCACATTCCCGTTCATCATAAACTCTCAAGTTTTATAAAAAAAAAGGTAATTAGTTCCATTTTGTTTTGAAAATAAAACCTTACTACTCCAAATCCCAACAAACACTACAAAGGCCACGTCCACCAACATTAATCCAAAACCTCAATTATTCCTAAACAACCACATCATAATCCCAATTCCATTTAACATTAAATTTCTCTTTAATATCTCAAAACAATAAACACAATACCAAACCTTTCCAATTTATATCCTAAACATGATTTATTACCTACAACCAATTATACACACAACCCGTGAACTCACCAATATAAATCCAAATTGACCCATATGCTTTTTAACAAAAACCAAACACAATGAACAATGAGCAGAAACAGGACATGAACAACCATAAAAGGCACTGAAATCCAGATCCAAAACATTAACGGGTCAGATTCAAACCAGGGTCGCTATAACAGTTGTCATAAATCTAATGTTAAGCCCAAATTTAATATCACAAGTGAATCTTAATTCATTTTTACGTAAATCTTATAACATAAGACAAATAATAATTTTGATGCTAGAGACGTCGCTTTGTCACCTGAAAACACAAACGTGAGCTAGCCGGCGGGTGTGTGCCGGAAATCTCTCCGATGCCTAAATCAGAAAACTTGACAAATAGACAAAGCTCTATGTTCTCAGAAAGAATTATGTTCAATTACCTCCTCCAAGGTGATGCTTGTGAGCTTTTATAAGTTTCCCGTGGCACAATCCTAGTAGGACTTGTACTTCTCCATGCAGAGTCCTCCTAGGATTTATTCTCCTAAGGATAATGCTTATCCTTTTACACCCTCCCCCACTGCTTAAACCAAGTGGGATGGTTTTCTCCATGGCCGAATTACCATGTGACCGAAATAACACTGGCTATGCTGAGCCACAGATTAGGCCGACCTATCCTTAGTTCGGTTTTGCTCGCTACACCATATCTCGATTCTCCTCTGCTCAACCCATGGTGTGTTTGGACCGAAACAACGACTCTTGACCGGTATAACTCCAAGGCCGGTGCACCTCTAAAGCCGATGTAGACTTCAAGACCGGTCTAACTCCAAGCTGTTCCAGGACCGAAGTATATTTACAACCTCTCAACCGAAGTAACCTCATCTCTTTTGACCGGAGTAACTTTGCCGGAGTAACCTTGCTCTCCTGGGCCGGAGTACCCTTTACGGCCTTTTTTACTCAGTCCTTCGCGTTTTGAGCCTCAAAACCCAACTCGTAGCTCGGCCTAATTTTTCCCAAAAATTACCCTCTCAGCGCTGTCATAAAAAATATATATATGGGATTATTATGCATAAGTTAACAAATGTTAATTCTATTAAATGAAAAATTTGCTTCTACCGCCTATATAAAAAAAGTTATTTACGGATCAGTCAAAAGCACAAGGAACAAGTCATATTTGCCTATATATGTCTCTTCTTATTGCCACCAAATCTGTCCTATCACCACCTATTCAAACACCCATCACCATGGCCGCCTTCTCTAATTAAATTATCACAACCGCTGGATTAGTGTTATCAAATTCAACATAAAAGCAAACCTCTGAATCATGGACACCTCTCCGTATGTGACGTACAGGTGTCGGACATGCTGGGACACGTTGAAGACACGCTAAAATTTTTGAATTTTTTACTAAAATAGCATACCTAAATAAAGTTGATAAATTTGATAAAATTAAATATTTGACATAAAATAAATAAATATTTAAAAACATGGCATATAAATTATAATAAACATATAAAATTATATGTTTTGCACATGTCACCAATGTGTGTTGTCTTGCATTTTTTAAAAATTTGTGTATCTGTGTCCGTGTCGGTGCTTCTTAGAAGAAGCAAACTCAATCGGTTGCTCCAAAATACATGGCCATTACTGATATGGAATCAACATGCCAAAATTTAACTAATGCTCTCTTTCACCCTAATTCATATTAATTTCCTCTGATACAAAGAAGTACGAACACTTCTAAAAATGTGGCGTGTACATGTTGTGTCGTGTTAGACACTGACACTTGTCAAAAAGTGTCTTATTTTAAGAAAAAAAAAATAGACCCGGACACTTGGAGAACACATGTGTCCATTGATTAAACGTATGAAACTAATTATAAGTTTAAACTAAATAACTCAGGATACAATAATAGAAAAAAAAACAATGTAAATTTATAAAATTAAGTGTTATATTGTATTTTTTTAATTTTCTTTAAATGATATATTCATATATATGACATGTAATTAATATATAAAATTATATATTTTGTATGTGTTCTCCACGTGCCGTGTCTTGTATTTTTTGAAAATCGGTGTGTCGTATCTATGCCTATGCTTATATATATAGATCTACGTGGTTACATTTTGTGTGTTTGTATATGATGAAAACCTAGGTGTTAGAAGTAGTGCGAAGGAGGGGGCACGTTTGTGGGGAAGAATGGATGATGGGTAAAAATGACTTTTTGCTATGTTTTTTACTTACTAATAATTACTTATGAATAAATATTTTCATTAAACGCACTTATCTGTAATAAATTTGTTATTTATTGTTGTAAATGTAATAATCTCTTTATTTATTTATGATTAATCTTTGTGTGAGAACCCTGGTTGTTTTTTATTTGAATTACATTATTTTATGTTGTTTATGAAATCACTTCAGGAGTAAATTTGAAAGCTCTTAGGGAGACTTTGAATGCCTTACCATATTTGTGGCTAAATGGTTAGCTCTAGGTTGCTAGTTTCCTTCTTTGTACCTTTTTTCCAGGGCCGACCCTGGCCTAAAGCCAGTAAGGCCTCTGCCTTAGGCCCCAAAATTTTGACCCAAAAATAGGGCTCCAAATTTAGTAAAATGTTATAGGCCTAATGTGTCTCTTTTTTTTTTTTTTTTTTTTTAAGGATCAATTTAAAGGGCCCCCAAATTTTTTATTGGGTCCATGTATGGTTTAGTCCATATTTATTTATAAGTGTAGTTTGACCCATATTTATTAAAATGAAAATATATATTTAAAAAAAAAGTGTTTGAGCCCAAGAAGAACAATACATAGAATATATGGGCCCTAATTTTTTTTTTTACCTTCTTTATCTATTAGATTTTAGTGGAATAAATAATTTTGCCCTAATTTTTTTACCTAGGTCTTTATCAGTTTTAATTGAATAATTTTTTCCTAATTTTTTTTGTCTTGATTTTGTTTCATTAAATTGTTTTGTTTATAATTTTAATGATTATATGTGCAAGTAAATTTTTTTGTAGCTACAAACAAATAGAAAAGTTATAACTTATCGTTTTATCTATGTACTTTTTTTTTTTCAATGTAAGAAGGGCTCCACTTTCAAAATTCGTCTTAGAACCCCTAAATCTCATGGCCGGCCCTGCTTTTTCCCTCCCCTTTTTTTTCTTCTAAAACTTCTAATTGATTTTGTTTTGTTTCTTTGTATATATAAGTTTACAGCAGAGGGAATTTCATCATAGGAGAAGAGATGGATTGCCCTATACCAGCATGTGCAAAGTGCACATTGAATTGCTTATTGATTCATGGGAAGAATAAGGACCCATCAACTGTTGCTACCTCTTTTTTCAAAATCATGATTGGTGATAATTTTTCAAAAGTTCTGGTATAGTTACATTTCTACAATTCCTTGTTAGTTATTTTAAAATACTGTTTCTCTAACACTATTGGTCCTCCATCATATGTGATTGGAAAAATCATAAGTTTCATACTTCTCTATAGTACCCTACGCTGGGGGCCTTTGGAGTCGGTTCAAGAATTTTAGGGTTTGGTCCCAACACCAATACACCCCCATTCCCAAAATGTATGGTAACTGCATACTTCATAATCTAAAAAAATAGTACCATGTTTCCAAGGGTCTGATTAGGATGGGTGGTCTTTTGGGGTTTGGAAGTGTCGAGAATTAATGCTACAATTTTATTTGTAAAATGTTTGAAGGTTATGTTTTGAGATTCAGTTTCTCTCAGAAATCTTCCCATATGAGGAAGAAAATCCATATGATAGGAAGTGCCATATGACACTCCAAACAGCAACAGTATATAGTGGTCACTCTTCCCCATTGGCCAATTGTGGACCATCTGATTCCCCCACAATCTTGAGGGTCATTGGTCAGGATCATGTGTTTCGTTGTTCTGCTATCATTGTGATTTGAAACGGATTTCATTGCTCTGTTTGCATTTATGTCTCATAGCATAAATTATTTGATTTAGTTATTGTTTAATCTTATTTTTCCTTCTGTTGATTTTAACATTGTTTCCTAGTGCTGAGTGAAGTAGAGGGTTGTGGTTTGCTATATTGTGGATGGCATAATGATGGATCTTCCTATTCTGGTTGTCATTTTTTTTGTTGTCCTTTCATTGTGATTATCTACTTATCCTTGTTAATAGTGGACAACATGACATTGCAGAAATTTTTGCACCTGAAACATTAAAAACAATAGAAAATTTGGGGATTCAATTAATCTATAACGAAGGGGAAAAAAATAGAAAAAAAGGAAAAAGGAAAAAGGAAAAAAAAAGAGAGCAGAAATTGCAATCTGCAAAATTTTTATTACAGGAAGTGTTAGCTGAGTTAATTTGGAGTTTCTCTGAATTAATCATTAATTTTTCTTGGTCTCATGGTATATTTTTCTTGGTAGCAGTATCATATCACGTATGCACGTGTGTTTGTTTTATTGCTCAGTTAATGTAATTGACTTGAAAAGGGTTCTCAGTGTCAAAATCTCAAAACATTTGTAGTCATTGTTTGCTTGTGTATGAATTGTAAGGTTGCATAAGAGCAACTCTAATGTCATGCCAAATCCTTGAGCCAAAGCCATTTTCAGCTATACCCTCATAAACAAAGGGAATTATGAACACTAGATGCTTTTTGGGAAGTAGATCTAATGGTCACAAATTGATATGAGAGCTGTTTGTGCCAAAATAACATGGGACCATTGGATTTGTATAGCTAAAAATGACCTTTTTTGTATTGTATGAAGCAAAAAAGTTACTTTGACAAAGCCATTTTACTTTTCACCATTGGAGTTGCTCTAACAAACTTTTTGTTGTAGTTAACTTTGCAACTATAGTATCTGTATTAAACTTTTGCAGATTTTCTGCTTAAACCATCCATCTTATGTTCTCTAAGTTGTTATTTCTTTGCAGTTCTTGCCTCCTAAATTTGCCCGAACAGTGTCAGACTTGATTGATCAAAAAACTCAGCTGGAGGATGCAAGCGGGCAGAGGTGGACGGTAACATTATCCAAATATGATGGGTCCTTGGCTTTCCAACAGGGATGGCCTGCTTTTTCACTCGAACATGGTCTAGAAATTGAAGATTTTGTGTTATTCCATTACATAGAGCAATCTCACTTTGTTGTTCAAATCTATGGAAAAAGTGGGTGTGAAAAACTCTATTTTTCAAAGGAAAATAGCAATCAGAAGAAACGAACAAAGGCTAACAGAGATTCCTGTGCCAAAGATGAACAATGCCACACAATTGATAATGTTTCTATAAATTCTATGAACAAAGAGGGTTCAAATACTTCTACTGTATCTGGTTCTGAAGGTGAAATAAGCCGAAGGCTGCCAATGGCAACCACGTATACCACTTCAAACATTGATAACGTCAATGAAAGGCTTCATCATGTTCCCAGAACAAAATGCATCGAAGAACCATTTTATATGATTGATAGAGATTCTGGGGTGGGACAAGTGGACCGCTTGAGCTCTGTATAAGACTTGGCAGACTTTGAAATGCAGAGGACATCCGGTGTTGATGGAACTAAAGAAGTTCTGGTAGAAGATGTAAGGCCCCTTTCCCATGTTAATACAATGCCGCAATCTCAAGCTGAAGTCGAAATAGTGGACAAGTTACCTGTGACTGAAGAGGTAGTGAGGCAGACAACGCTTTCAGATGTACCTAACTTGCCAATTCTTGAGAAAATAAGGAGTTTCAAATGATGGATAACGTGTCTAATCAAGATTCTGGCAGTTTACCTCTTTCAATTATCACTCGATATCATTTTACTCTTTTTTATCTTTAAACCATACATTTAGACTCAGCTATTAAAAATTATACAAAAACCCCTTTTCTAGAGGGGTGGAAGTGAAACGATTTTGATAATTGAGAGATTTAAATGTACATTTTAAAATTAAGGGGGTTACAGTTGATTTTATTTGATGGGTAAAATGTAACTAACCTTTTGAAAAAGGATAATGGGCGATCAACATATAACAACTTTTTTTGAGCGAGATTATTATGCTTCTTATCTTTTTTGGAGTGTTGAATAAGAAAGCCCCAAATGAGCCTAGTGCCATGGCCTTGGTTATTTACAAAGTTTTACTCCTTAAAATATGTAAATCCTTAAGGCATTTTATTTGAGATATGAATTGGTTTTGTAATTGTATGACATGTTATAGATTCAAGTTTAGGGGTGAATATATAATACAGTTAGACAATCACAAGTTTTACTTGATCTAACTCACAAGTTTGCAAGAAAGAGAAATGAAGGGTTCTCTTTATATTCACCTTTGTATTCACCTTAAAAATCTTAGGCCTTTTCTAAAATATTCCAGAACATACAAAGGAGTTATGAACAAGCTTCTTATGGAAGTTTTCTTTATTCTACATGAAGGTTCTAGCATCCTTCCTAAAAATATCTATACAAATATCTATCTCATTCTAGAAGTATGTATAAGGGTCTTTTACCACCTTCATTTCCCTAGGAGGTTCTAGAAACTTCTATTGCTTCTATTCCTCGAATCTTCACTTAAATGCTCTAGAACTTATTCTAGATCCTGTCATGTACATTATAGAATTATATACCATATTTTCACATTTTCTCAAATCTTCCAAGAGCTTCCGGAATATTTCTTAGCTTCCTTTCCTTGAGATTTTCTCATGGTAGGCAATTATGTCTAGGTAATCCGGAATATTTCTTACAATTTTTATATGCTTAAAATTTCGTAACATGTTTTTTTTTTCCCCCTCTCACTATGGCCATTACTACTCAACATATATATCAAATCTCATTATTTTCATACACAATAAACGTTAATAGGGTAAGGTTCAAACTCTCAACTTAATTTTTTTTTAATCTTTAATTTTTTAATAATGAAAATATTAAGTGTCATTATGTGTTGCATTTTAATTAGCTCATAATTAAATTCATGAAGTTTTATATTAAACCCTTAAATTATGCTACCATAATTACCATTTCCAATTACCTCATTAATTTATATTTACCATACCAAATTTATTTTCAAAATTGCTTCCCTAAGATTGCATTAATGCATGATTTTGATACATTCATACACACATGAAAAAAATTAATTCTTTAACTTAAAATTTAGACATTATTGATTATTTAACACGGTCTGGGCTTCTTTCGAGTCCTCCATCATACTAGAAAAGTGTTGTTGGGCCTTGTGCCCTCACTTTTGGGCACTATTTTAATAATCTGAACCATTCATATTTTAAGATTCGTCGTGTACATCATCCCTATAAAAAATCAAGTCGATAAAATAACGGCAATCATGTGTTTGTGTGCAAAAAATGTATGGTGAGAAAATAAACAGTTCATAAAAAATTGATCCAAACACATTATTTTCGTTATTTGATTGACTTGATTTTTTGCAGGGATGATATACTCGACGAATCCTAAAATGTAAATTCGAATCATCAAAACAGGGGCCAAAATTGGTCCATTGAATGTTTAATCCAATATTAGAACCCCCAAACTAGCTCATACCGATTACGAATCGATAAATTATGATATAATTTATACATAATATTTAAATTTATTATTATTAAATATTTTTACTAAGATTAAATTTAAAATATGACATATAATTGAGGACAGCTTTATCTTAGATAATTTTTTAATATCTGAATATATGTAGCTATTTATTTCATAGTGGTAGCATAAATATATAATTTTGTAAATAAGTTTAATTTTTTTAATAGATATGCATAAAATATGTTCATAATTCTTATTTAAAAAATAAAAAATACTTATAGATATTTATTTACCAATTTAATAAATAAATACGTCAAATGATTCATAAGTTAGGCATAGACCAAGACAATTTTTAATGATTAGATGAATGTCACGTTGGCATAAATATATAAGTGATTTATGTGTAACTCTGATAAAATGAATAAAAGTTGATTGATTATAAATCATTTTTATTATATATTTTAGATAAATTTTATATTATTATTTAATTTTTAAATTATTTTTTGATTATTTATTTATAATCGTGCATAGCACTGTCAAGGCCACTTTACTAACTCTTAACACAAAGTAAAAATAAAAGTAACCAAGATTTTAAAAAGAAAAGTGATTTTTTTTATTTAGTAGCTCCAGAATACAAAGATTGCTAAAATTTATAGGTTATTGACATAAAACAAAATTAAAATGAAACTAACTAAGATTTTAAAAAGAAAAGTGATATTATTTTTTTTTATTTAGTAGCTTCCAAAATACAAAAATTGTTGAAATTTATAGGGTGATCCCCTATTTTTTTAATTTTTTTTTAATTCTTTAGCTTTAGAATACAAAATTGTTAAAAATTATTAGTAGTAGATACAAAATCGAGTTAAAATTTGTATAATAAGATATCATAAATGCTTTTTTTTTAACTACACAAAATTTAAATTTTAAAAAATTATAATTGCCATTTAACTCTTATATAATTTTTAACTTATTACATCTCAGTTCTTATTTTTGAGTTTTTTTTATTTTTTTTATTTTATTTTTTTAAACAAACTAAAAAAATTATAGGTGACATTTCACTTTTTATCTAATTTTTAAACTACGACCATCTTCTATTCTTCTATTATTAGAGTTATATTAGATTTTTTTTTTCAAGTTTATCATATTTTATTTTTGAATTTTTAAATTTCAACTTTATTTCTTTTTTTTTTCAATCTTCATTTGATATTTACTGAATTTCTCTCTACCTCATCTTTCTAGAATTTATTTAATTTTCTCTTTCTATATTCTTATAGTTCATCCTCAAATTCAAACTTGATTATTATTATTTTTTTAATCTTTATCTTATATTTACAGAATCTACTATCACTTTTGATTTTCAGTTGAATTTATTTTTTTTGAAGATTTATCTAATTTTCTCTTTCTATATTCATTTTCAAATTTTAACTTAATTTTTTTTATTTTTATCCTACATTTGTAGAATTTCACTATTACTCTTCATTTTCAATTAAATTTATTTGATTGAGTGTATTTGAAAAAAATTAATTACTCCTGCATATTTATATAAATATAGTGAAATTACTCAAATTTGTTATTTAAATACTCATCTAAATTAATATCATAGTATTTAATTAATTTTTAACATATTTCATATTATTTACCACATTTTGTTATTTATCCATGCATAGCACGGATTTTTCGTTAGTTTATATGATGCGAAAGAGGTGAAGGGAAGAAACATGAGAATTGAGGAACCAATATGACCTTGCGGTAGTCTTTGCAATTTGTGAGTAAAGAAAAAATAATAAAATTTTGTGTTCTGTTACTTATGACAGCAATAAAATTTATAATTATTCTCTTATACAATAATACAATTATTCAAATTATTAATTAAAATATATTTATAATATCATTAAAAATTATGAATTAACTTAATAATTTGTTAATAAAAGAATTATTTGAATTTTAAACAAATCCTAAGAATTGTATTTGTAATTCATCTACTATTATTTTTGTTTTTTTGACAAGGTGCCTGTTTGGCATAGCTTATAAGCTACTTATTTTAACTTTTAACTTAATTTAAGTTATAAATATGTGTTTGGTGTAACTTAAATCATCAAATTATAGCTTATTTGTAATCTATTTCCAGCTTTGGGGAAGGGGAGCGAAGCAGCTCAGGGATGCTTATTCAAAGCTTATGCGCGTAGCTAGGTTGAGGGGACTAAAATCACTAAAATACCCCTTCAAAACTTGAAAAATTATGGATTTGCCATTTGCCCTAGCACGCTTCTCTCTCTAACACCTAGGGCTATCACCTAGGGCTGTGCACAATACCGCCAAAATCGCTCCGAACAGCTCTAAATCGTGGTTTTTTTTTTCAATTCTGGCAAGCGGGTGGACGGGTTGAGGTGCCAGGACTAGCGGGTCGGCGCGGGTGGCAGTTTGGAAATACCAACCCGCTGAAAAAATTGACCCGCACCGCCACTTTGTTAAAACATTTTCCCCTGCCACTGTATATACATCCAAGTTATATTTCCAACCATTAGATTACATCTATCATACCAAATGTACATACACTCGCACACACACAATAAATTCTCAATTAAACCTAATTCACATCTAAACATATCTCATTCTTCGATCGGCGCTGCTGTCTGCTCTTGTTCCTCCTCCTTCCTTACCTTGCCGATCGGCACTGTCCTAGTCTCTCCGCCACTGCCGTTAGCCTCGCCGTCGCTGCTGTCCGCTTGCCGACACTGCTGTCTGCTCGCCGCCGCTGCTCTCTCCTCTCCGTTGCTGCTCTCTGCTCGCCGAGTTGCCTGGTATGTGGCTCTTTTTCCTTTCTCTCTCTCTTTGCTCTCTCTCCATTCCTCAATATCTATCTCTTACCGAAGTGGACAAATAGGCAGTGTTTTATTAGTTGTTTATTTGTCGTATCAAAGCTTTTCTAATGGTATAAAACATAAATTAGTGATGCTTTCTAATGGTACAAAACATAAATTAGTGATTCTCTCATCATATTGTCTGGTGAGCACATGAAAGTACTTTATTTATTTTATTTTAATCAAAGTGTTCTCATAATATTGTCTAGAAGCCCATAATGAAAACACAATATTTTAATTTTGACTATTTTAGTTAATTTATAAATTAGATCTTTTATGCATTGATTCAAGTTTTATAATTTAAATTATGTTTTCTTATAAACCATCAATCTGCCCGAACCGCCAAGTTGAAATCACCATTATTTGCCAACCGAACCACCGGGTTTTGATAGAAAAAATGGCAATTTCTAATAACACTTTTATCAATCCGCCCCGCCACCCGCCGTACAGTTTCTATTTTTCTCCTAAACCGCACCGACCTGCACCGCGGACACCCCCATGCCTCTCTTCTCCTCTTCTGGTTTACTCTCTAGCGACGACGACGACGAGAACTCCGCCACATCTGGAAGATCGCAGCCGATCGAACTCCTTTCCTCCCTGTTTTCCATTGATCTGCACCAAAAATGTACGATTTCATGCCCTTTGTTTGTTATATATAGATATATATATACACACATCCAGCGTTGTCTCTCTCTCTCCCTTTGTCTCTCTCTCTCTCTTTCTCTCTCAAACATGGCCAAGTCACAGAATTCCAAGTTCAAGTGTTTCTCCAGCATCCTCTGCTGCCTCCTCTGCATCAGCAGCCTCCCAACCCAACCATCCGACCCCACCACCAACATCCCTACCACCACCACCACCACCTTTGAAAACCCAAAAAAGAATTTCAAAATCCAAGTCAAGATCCCAGGAGTAGTCGCAAGACTCTTGGGTCTAGACTCACTCCGAGACCCCAGGAAGGTTTTTAGGATAAAGGAAGATCAGAAGTAAAAAAAGTGGAGTTTCTGTGTTTTAATTTGTTTCTGTGTTTCTGTGTTTACATATCTGAGCATAGTTTCTGTGTTTACATAGCTAAGTGTATGTTTGCAACAGTACACGTTGATGGACGGCCATCGAATGTTATTGCCAGATTGATGGGTCTTGATGGGCTGCCTCCTCAGCATCCTCTTCATAGACAACATAAAGGGTTCTCTGAAACTTATCGACAATGGACTGCACCAGTATCATCGCAAAGGGATGGAAAACCATATGAACACCAATCAAATAGGAAATACTCAGTGGCGCAGGAAGAATGTAAGGATGAGTATGAAGTTTTGGAAACATCAAAGGTTGAGAGGAGTAGTTACCCGGCAAAAAGGACTATAAACTCAAACTTGTCTGAGGCAGAGATGGCGTTCATTCAACAGAAGTTCATGGCTAACCATGGTTGGCATCTTGCTCAACTAATTTTTTTAGTTGTATGATAGTTTCGATTAAAAATATTTTCTCAAAAATATTTTATACATTTTTCATTGTTTGGTTGAATAAAAAGTAACATATTTATTGAGACAAGTATTTTTCATCATAATCCCCAAAATGGCTTATCATTAAAAATTTCACCAAGTCAATTTTTTTAAAAAGTTCATTTCCAGCTTAGCTCTTTCAATCTCTCTTACTAGAATCGTACAATTCACGATTCGAATCGTGCGATTCAATTCGATTCAGTGGGTAATCGATACGAACAGGTTATGTGAATCGCAAATAGCTATGAATCGTAGGTGAATCGGTGAACCCAATTGGTGAACTGAATCGGTGAATGTGAATTGCTAAAATTGATGTTTGGCTTTTTTTTTTGGCTTTTTGTTGGAAAAGGGTTCACACAACCGAATCAGTCACACAACCTTGCTATTTACTCTCAAATACTCAAACCTTACCAAAAAAAAAAAAAAAAAAAAAGCTCTCTACAATATTCTAAACTTATATATTCAATTTTATCTAAGTACTTGCATTTACAAAATGATTTTTTTGAAGGCATCAAGTGAGATTTTAGAAAAAAAAATTTGAAGATTTTGGTTTTTTAACCTTGTAAAAAGTTTCAAAAAAAACATTGTTGTTGAGTTATTGTTACTTGAAAATTGAAAATTTATCTTTATTTGCTTTTTTTATTAAGAATGGCTAGTAAGAAATAGTATTTAAAAGGGAAAATGTGAAGTGGTAAATATAGGAACCTGTGCTAACTTCTTATTTAGACCATATGATCATCATTTCTTATTCAGACCACGTGATTATCATTTAAAACAATATTTTCATTGATTTAAGTCTAAATATTTCGTGTTTATTAGATATATTTAATATTAAGTGTGTACATTTATTATTCTGTGTAATTTAAAAAAGGTGACCGAATCTTTACGATTCGCAATTCGGTACAATATCATTTCGATTCATGATTCAAATCTCGATTTAACAACTATGCTTTCAATACATTGATCTTTTCAGAACTCAAAGGAAGACTCTTTGTTGACTTCTACCCAATGCATACAACAGAAAGTGGTTGTTTGAAGTGTCAACCAAATAACCGAAAAATAAAAAGAATTTTTTCTTTTCTTTTGTGCAAAATCAATTTACATGAAATTTTTTTTCAGAGCTTAAATTCAAAATTAATTGGTTTTGAAAATTTTGTTTTAAAAGAATCGGACTTTGGTATTAAATGCACATAAAACCCTATAATCCCAATCAACAGACATGTCAATGGAGATTCAAAGGAAACAGGAAAGCATAGAAAACACGAAAGCATCACCCAAAGGATAGTATTTAGGCCTTGTTTGGAAAGTTGGTTGGGCTAAAATAGCTCACTGAAAGACAAAATAAGCTAAAATAACTAATAAGACAAAATGTCATGTCTAATCCATAATAATTTTACTTTTTTTCTCACAATCATCACAACAATTAAAAAAAAAGGCCAATTAACTTCCCAAACACATAACATTTTTAGCCATGCTAAAATAGCTCACTTCCCAAACAAGGCCTTAGAATGGGTCATGTTAGTATGTTGGGAACATATTTTTTAGTAATTTTTTGGCTTTTTGTCTATAATATGATATAAAAAAACTAGAATGTTTGGGATGCTTTTTTAGTTTTTTTCCAAAAAGATGTGCAAAAAGTAAAAAGATAAAGGAATCTTTGACTTTTTAGTATAAGTTGTTGGCTTCTTTTTTTTTTTTTTTTTAAAAACTTTTAACATAAAAAGTGATGTTGCGAAACTAGGCAGTCTACACAAAATCACAAATGCCACAACTACATCCTTTTAGTCATAACTAAAAAAACATAATGGGTCATAATCAAACAAAAGACCTTTTTTTTTTTTTTTTTAATGTAATCACAATAACAATCACAATAGAAATAATCAACATCACAATCAGTCATAACATAAAAAATGAATGTATATTATAAAATTTCTCTTTAGAATGGCATACTATAATATAATAATTATATATGAAGAAAAGGGGAAAAAGGAGGAGAGAGCATAGCAATTGACCTTGGTGACAGAGAGTAATGCGAGCGAGGAATTGAGAAGTGCTTTGTTTTTGGTACAGAGGTTTAACCATGGAGGGTTTGGGGTTTGAATTAAACCCTGGTTTTTTTCATACTCTCTCTTGCTATCCCTCTCTTCTTTCCAAAGTTCTACTAGTCTCTAGTGTAAAGTGTAGTTCCCTCCTTTCAACGAAACGCCTCTCTCTCCCTCTCACTATGGAAAACGAAGGGTGTCTGTCTCTTGGAAAAAGCGAATTGTCCTATCTAAAAATTCGAACAAATATCTGTGTGCATTTTTGTTTGGTTTTTTGTTCGTGTTTAGTATTTTTTATTTATTTATTATTGTAGTTAAAAAATTTTACTTTTTAGATACATCTAATCTTGATGTATCTAAAAAGTAAAAAAATTGACTAAAATGTGAATAAAATTTAGTAAAGACAAACGAAAACCTATCTAAAAATAATTTATGAAAACTGTAACCAAATGTTTTATAAAGTTGTCATGACTTCCATAATTTTAAAGTCGTGAGTCTTCAACTTTAAGGTAAACATGACTTCATGAAACAATATGAGTTTGAGGATTAAGTTTAAAACTACTTGAATTTGAGATTTAAATAAAATAACATGCGTTTGGTCAAAAAACTTCTAAACTCAACTAGGTAGGGCTTTATGAAATTGTTACCAATGTGTGTGTGTGTTTTACGGTAATATAAGTTGTTAGCAATGTTTCAGGTTGTTTTTCGTGGCAATTTCTTGTTCTTTGTTGTTCATGACAAGGGTAGTTTCTTATATTTATGAGAGCAAATTATGCGCTGTCATAAAATATATATATATGGGATTCTTATGCATAAGTTAACAAATGTTAATTCTATTAAATGAAAAATTTGCTTCTACCCCCTATATAAAAAAATTTACTTACTGATCAGTCAAAAGCACAAGGAAAAAGTCATATTTGCCTATATATGTCTCTTCTTATTGCCACTAAAACTATCCTATCACCACCTATTCAAACACCCATATTTAAACACCCATCACCATGGCCGCCTTCTCTAATTCAATTATCACAACTGCTAGATAAGTGTTATCAAATTCAACATAAAAGCAAACCTATGAAGCACGGATACCTCTTCGTAGGTGACGTACAGGTGTCGGACATGCTGGGACACGCTAAATTTTTTACTAAAATAACATACCTAAAGTTGATAAATTTGATAAAATTAAATATTTGACACAAATAAATAAATATTTAAAAACATGAGATATAATAAATATACAAAATTATATGTTTTACACATGTCTCCAACGTGTGTTGTCTTGCATTTTAAAAATTTGCGTGTCTGTGTTTGTGTCAGTGCTTCTTAGAAGAAGCAAACTCAAATGGTTGCTCCAAAATATGTGCCCATAGCTGAGAAGGAATCGGCATGCCAAAATCTAACTAATGCTCTCTTTCACCCTAATTGATATTAATTTCCTCTCATACAAAAAAGCATGAGAGCTTCTAAAAATGTGGTGTGTACATGTCGTGTCGTGTCAGACACTGACACTTGTCAAAAAGTGTCTTATTTTAAGAAAAAAAATAGACCCGGACACTTGGAGAACACGTGTCCATTGATTAAACGTATGAAACTAATTATAAGGTTAAACTAAATGACTTAGGATACAATAATAGAAGAAAAACAATGTAAATTTATAAAATTAATTGTTATATTGTATTTTTTTTTAAAATTTTCTTTAAATGATATATTCATATATATGACATATAATTAATATATAAAATTATATATTTTGTACGTCTTCTCCATGTGCCGTGTCTTGCATTTTTTGAAAATCGGTGTTGTATCTGTGTCTGTGCTTCTTAATATATATATATAGATCTACGTGGTTACATTTTGTGTGTTTGTAAACAAAGTGTTAGAAGTAGTGTGAAGGAGGGGGCGTGTTTGTGGGGAAGAATGGATGATGGGTAAAAATGACTTTTTGTCTATGTTTTTGACTTATTAATAATTAAATTCCTATACATAGATGTTTGAAGAAATATTTTCATTAAACGCACTTATATGTAATAAATTTGTTATTTATTGTTGTAAATGTAATTATCTCTATGTTTATTTATGATCAATCTTTGTTTGAGAACCCTGGTTGTTTTTTATTTGAATTACATTATTTTATGTTTTTTATGAAATCACTTCATGTGTAAATTTGAAAGCTCTTACGAAGACTTTGAATGCCTTATTATATTTGTGGCTAAATGGTTGGTTAGCCCAGTTTTATAATTTCTAGGTGGCTAGTTTCCTTCTTTGTACCTTTTTCCCTCCCCTTATTTTTCTAAAACTTCTAATTGATTTTGTTTTGTTTCTTTGTATATATAAGTTTACAGCAGAGGGAATTTCATCAGAGGAGAAGACATGGGTTGCCCTATACAAGCATGTACTACCTCTTTTTTCAAAATCATGATCGGTGATAATTTTTCGAAAGTCCTGGTATAGTTACATTTCTACAATTCCTTGTTAGTTATTTTAAAATACTGTTTCTCTAACACTATTCCCCATTGGCCAATTGTGGACCGATTCCCCCACAATTTTGAGGGTCATTGGTCAAGATCATGTGTTTCGTTGTTCCGCTGTGTTTGTGATTTGAAACGGATCTATGAGGGTAAAAAAAGTTTCTAAAAAAAAGAAGATAGAAATACTGCTTTTGGTTTCATTGCTCTGTTTGCATTTACGTCTCATAGCATAAATTATTTGATTTAGTTATGTTTAATCTTATTTTTCCTTCTGTTGATTTTAAGATTGATTCCTAGTGCCGAGTGAAGTAGAGGGTTGTGGTTTGCTATATTGTGGATGGTATAATGATGGATCTTCCTATTCTGGTTGTCATTTTTTTTTGTTGTCCTTTCATTATGATTATCTACTTATCCTTGTTAATAGTGGGCAACATGACATTGCAAAAATATTTGCACCTGAAACATTAAAAACAATAGAAAATTTGGGGATTCAATTAATCTATAATGAAGGGGAAAAAAATAGGAAAAAAGGAAAAAGGAAAAAAAAGAGAGCAAAAATTGCAATCTGCAAAAATTTTATTACAAGAAGTGTTATCATATCACGTATGCACGTGTGTTTGTTTTATTGCTCAGTTAATGTAGTTTACCTGAAAAGGGTTCTCAGTGTCAAAATCTCAACACATTTGTAGTCATTGTTTGCATGTGTATGAATTGTATCATCCCAAGGTTGTATAAGAGCAACTCTAATGCCATGCCAAATCCTTGAGCCAAAGCCATTTTTCGCTATACCCTCATAAACAAAGGGAATTATGAACACTAGATACTTTTTGGGAAGTAGATCTAATGGTCACAAATTGATATGAGAGCTGGTTGTGCCAAAATAACATGGGACCATTGGATTTGTATAGCTAAAAATGACCTTTTTTGTATTGTATGAAGCAAAGAAGTTACTTTGACAAAGCCGTTTTAGTTTTCACCATTGGAGTTGGTCTAACAAACTTTTTGTTGTAGTTAACTTTGTAATTATAGTATCTGTATTAAACTTTTGCAGATTTTCTGCTTAAACCATCCATATTATGTTCTCTAAGCTGTTATTTCTTTGCAGTTCTTGCCTCCTAAATTTGCTCGAACAGTGACAGACTTGATTGATCAAAAAACTGAGCTGGAGGATGCAAGTGGGCAGAGGTGGACGGTAACTTTATCCAAATATGATGGGTCCTTGGCTTTCCAACAGGGATGGCCTGCTTTTTCACTCGAACATGGTCTAGAAATTGGAGATTTTGTGTTATTCCATTACATAGAGCAATCTCACTTTGTTGTTCAAATCTATGGAAAAAGTGGGTGTGAAAAACTCTATTTTTCAAAGGAAAATAGCAATCTGAAGAAACGAACAAGGGCTGACAGAGATTCCAGTGCCAAAGATGAACAATGCCACACAATTGATAATGTTTTTATAAATTCTATGAACAAAGAGGGTTCAAATACTTCTGCTGTATCTGATGTTCCCAGAACAAAATGCATCGAAGAACCATTTTATATGATTGATAGAGATTCTGGGGTAGGACAAGTGGACCGCTTGAGCTCTTTATATGACTTGGCAGACTTTGAAATGCCGAGGACATCCAGTGTTGATGGAACTAAAGACGTTCTGGTAGAAGATGTAAGGCCCCTTTCCCATGTTAATACAATGCCGCAATCTGAAGCTGAAGCTGAAATAGTGGATAAGTTACCTGTGACTGAAGAGGTAGTGAGCCAGACAACGCTTTCAGATGTACCTAACTTGCCAATTCTTGAGAAAAATAGGGAGTTTCAAATGATGGATAACGTGTCTGATCAAGATTATGGCAATGGCAACACTTCTGGGCGAGAGCGGAGGAGCAAGACACGATATAGTTAGTTGCTTTGTCTTCATTTTGTGTGGAACTATGAGTTCTAAATTCTTTGTTCTTTTTTTATTTTTTCTTCTTTTCATTATTAATTTACTATATTCACTTTAATTTTCCTCACATGAAGAGTCTTGAATCATTACTAGGCAGCAATAAGGATTTGATATCCCAGAAAGATACTTCCCTCATGGAAAGGTGTCAAAGTATGCAACAGAAGTTTGCCGGTGTGTCAAAGTTCTGTGAATTTCCAGCCTCTGTTCAAACTTGGAATTGTCAATCTGGTGTGTTTCCAGTCCCTGTCTATTTTCCATTGCTCCAGTTGTTGTTGCAGCACTTTGTTTTCACTTAAGCTTTAAGGCTATGTTATTTTATTTATTATTGTTTTATTCTTTTTCTGTGCTATTTAAAGAATAATTTAAGAAGATGTATAACCTAATGCTATGTTGAGCAGGAGAGAGGATGAAAGTGGTTAAAAAAGAGCGGGTGGAGATGAGGGCAAAGAAGATGATGCATGGTATGATTGTATTTTCACTTCTTTTCCTCTTGCTTAGCTGTTTAGACATGAACATGATCATGTGTGCCCAACTTTCATGATTTATGGCATGTATTTCCATCTTCAGTATAAAATGCAATGAATGATTGCAGGAAAGTATCCAGAGATCAAGGAGTGTGACAGTAGTTCCAGTCCTTCCATGAAAGATAATGATCATGTGTACAAAGTGGTGAAAACTGAACTTGTTGATGCAACCTCTACACTTTCAGTCAAAATCCCTTTCTTGGCTGTGACGGGCAGGCTGTCTTTTCTTGTATGTTACTCATTCTCTCATTGTTAGTTGATTTTGAACAGTTTTTATAGCAACAAATTCATCCTTCGTAGCAAATAGTCTAAATAAATCAATTAGCATGTTGTATTATAAAGATTCTTGTTTTGTTTTGTTTTTGCTCTAATATTTTGGTCTCAGTAATTGCTTTTGAGTGTGTTTACCTAATTTAGGGTAAATTACAAATACACCCCCGAGGCTTATCAAAAGTACATTTGAGTACCTGAGGTTCTGAAATACATCCTGCAGCCTAAAATTTTAGATCGCATTACAGTTTTTCACATCCGTCAGTCTGCCATTAGGTCAATTAACAGAATGTAGTGATGTCAGTAACATTTTTTTTTTTTCAAAGTACCAAATTTTCCCCTAAGAGACATGAGACTCCATCTATGTCTTGCTCCTTCCCCCTCTTTACTCGCATTAATCTCCCTCTTCCCCACCCAAATGTCCAAAGGGCATTGTATTATCATTACCATAAAATTGATACAATGGAAATGAAATAAATGTTCAAAGTTGATATGTGCTGCATTCAAAATCAAGATTCTTTTCTTGCTCATCTATTAACTCAATTGGAGATTCACTGACCACCATCTCCGTCAATTCACCGACCATCACACCCCATCATTTGAACCCTCTTCCTTCCCAAGGTTGTTAAAATCAGGATCCTACATTGGATTGTTGGAGGAGTTTATAGGATCGGATCGTAAAATTGGATCAATGATCGTAAGCTATGAAGCATGGACACCTCTTCGGAGGCAACGTATGGGTGTCGGACATGGACACGCATCGGACACACGGTGGACACGTGTCTGATACTCTACCTAACGTGTCACCCTTTTTTTTTTTGAATTTTTGCAGCCGAAAATGATTTTTCTGTGATATTGTTCTTCTGATTGCACTGCATTATAACTCGGTATTCTCAATTTTCCTTGGTCTTACATGCTAGAGGTCATTAATAATAATTACTATGTAACAGAATTCAGTTCCAAATAAAGTTATTGATGAAATGCTTATTCCTACCATTTTAAGAGAAGATGGAATGGATGAAAACAGACCAAAAACATTCGACTTTCCCTGTTAAACACCTTTTATGTGTTAGTATGAGTTGAAATATGTGGAGAAATGGTTAATTCACAAGGATTCGACCGAATTTCGAATTTCAGCAAGGTACCTAAATGTTCAATGAACAGTTCCCTACTCTCTCTCTCCCCTTTTTTTTCTTTTTTCCTTTTTCTTTAAAGGCCCATTTTATGATTTCCTACTCCCACTTGTAACTTCTTTTTTTGTCTTTTGTCTTGGTCTTAGTTTGAAAAAGTAATCAACCCGCCTCCTCTCTCTATCTCTCTCTAAACTTGTATCAGTTGAGCATGAATTTGAAATCACGGATATCAAGTACCGCAAAACTATGAGTGAAACCCGTAGACTATGTTTGGATTAGTTGATGAGATATATTTTTTCACAAATCCTCTCTTCATTTTTTTTTTCCCTCCGCAGATCCAAACACAATATTTGAGTTTATGGTAGCAGGTTGACTGTCATTTCTCCATGTCAATAAATTGAATTTCCACTCATTGCTGATAATTAGAAGACCATTCATGTATTACCTATCATGGAAAACTTGATGTTGGCTACTTGTTATCATTTAACCAATTGAATGGACTCTTTTTGCACCTCTTGTGTGTAAATGAATGTTTTTTCGGAGATTTTCCCCCTTTTTTTTTAGATAGTGAAAATAATGTACCCTTTTCTTTGGCATTTCTAAACTTTATTCATTTCGGAGATTTTCCCTTTTTTTTTAAGATAGTGAAAATAATGTACACTTTTCTTCGGCATTTCTAAACTTCACAATCCTTTAATGTTGGTGCAGGAGTTGCCGAGTTGCTTGCCGTCGGTTTCATTCAGGGGACGGCCAATAATGGAAAGGAAGGTATTAGTTCGCCTTCGAGACCCAGTATCTAGACTGTGGCCAGTCATCTACCATGAGAAACAGGGTATCAAAGTCTTGGCAAGTGGTTGGGAAGCATTTTGCAAGGCAAATCGCATTCAGGTTGGAGATGAATGTTTTTTTGAAATTGAGGATGTGTCGGAGTGCATTTATGAAGTTAGTGTTGATAGGAAGTAAGATGGAGCTTCAAACTCTTCTAGTTTCAACAGTACATATCAGTACTTTGCCAAATATGATGACTAGAATCTATGAAACATATATTTTGAGTTAGGAAAGTGTTACACTTATATTATTTTTGTACATAACTTATGACTTGTTGAAAATATAAGTTATCTTGATGGATATTTTGCTTTAAAATGTCAAAAAATAGAACTTGCTATATCTTTATGGATTATTTTGCTATATAGATTTGCTATTTGTATATCTCTACTAGATTATAGGAATTTTGACCAAGTTTCACTCATGCTGTCATGAATTGGGAATAGCTCATTTGTCAATGGTGGATCTTTTTTATGAGATAGATGGTGGGTATTATGTGATCTTTTGTTAATGAACAATTGTAGTTTACCTCTTTTAATTATCACTGGATATCAGTTTACTCTTTTTTAACTTTAAACCATACATTTAGACTAAACTATTAAAAATTATACAAAAGCCCCTTTTCTGGAGGGGTGGAAGTGAAACGATTTTGATTATTGAGAGATTTAAATGTACATTTTAAAATTAAGGGGGTTACAGTTGATTTTAATTAATATTTGTGAGGGGTAAAATGTAACTAACCCTTTGAAAAAGGGTAATGGGCGATCAACATATAACAACTTTTTTTAAGCCTGATTATTATACTTCTTATCTTTTTTTGAGTGTTGAATAGGAAAGCCCCAAATGAGCCTAGTGTCATGGCCTTGGTTATTTACAAAGTTTTACTCCTTAAAATTATTTGAGATATGAATTGGTTTTGTAATTGTATGGCAGGCTATAGATTCAGGCTTAGGGGTGAATATATAATACAGTTAGACAATCACAAGTTTTACTTACCTAACTCCCAAGTTTGCAAGAAAGAGAAATTAAAAGGAGTACAAACTTCTTCTTCTTCTTTTTCTTTTTTTTTTTCCTCTTTTGTGCTAGAAAGGTAAGGTACACAATATATAAAAATTGAATTTGGGATGAATTTTTATATGACAATCTTTTTGTTTGGAAAAACATTTCAAAAGGAGTACAAAAATGACTGGAGCCTAGTGTCATGGCCTTGGTTATTTACAAAGTTTTACTCCTTAAAATATGTAAATCCTTAAGGCATTTTATTTGAGATATGAATTGGTTTTGTAATTGTATGGCAGGCTATAGATTCAGGCTTAGGGGTGAATATATAATACAGTTAGACAATCACAAGTTTTACTTACCTAACTCACAAGTTTGCAAGAAAGAAAAATTAAAAGGAGTACAAACTTCTTCTTTTTTTTTTTTTTTCCTCTTTTGTGCTAGAAAGGTAAGGTACACAATATATAAAAATTGAATTTGGGATGAATTTTTATATGATAATCTTTTTGTTTGGAAAAACATTTCAAAAGGAATACAAAAATGATTGGAAATATGAGATTTTTCAAACATTCCAAAACGATGTGGAATTCTTTAAACATTTCGAAAGGAGTACAAAAATTCCTTAGTAAACTTTGAACAAATGTATAATTTTAAATTGTAACATTTCAATGTAACACCCAAGTGTAACACTCCAATGTAACACTAAAAAAAAAAATCTTAGTGTAATACCCTAATGTAACACAAAAAAAAATTTATTACTGTAATTTTCTCAAACGTAACATTCTAATATAGCACTCTGAAAGAAGTCCTTAGTGTAACACTTTAATATAACACAAAAAAACTGCTTAGTGTATTTTTTCCAAACGTAACACTTTAATATAACACTCCAAAAAACCTCCTTAATGTAACACTCTAATGTAACATACACAAAAAACTCTATAATGTATTTTTTCTAAACGTAACACGTTAATATAACACTAAAAAAAACTTTCTTAGTGTAACACTCTAATGTAAAAAAAAAAAAAAAAAAAACTCTTTAGCGTATTTTTCCTAAATGTAACATTCTTATATAATATTCTAAAAAAACTCCTTAATGTAACATTCTAATGTAATACATAAAAGCTTCTTAGTGTAACATTTTAATTTAACATACAAAAAAGCTACTTAGTGTACTTTTTTCAAATGTAACATTTCAATATAACACTCCAAAAAAATTTCTTAGTGTACTTTGTTCTAGAATGAGAGAAAATCGAAAACTTCTATAGTGCAACTTGCCTAAATGTGTAATTTTATATTTTGAGAAACTCACTTTTATCCCTAAAAAATTAAACCCAAACATATAAGTGACTGCCTTTTTATATAATTTCCACTTTAATGGGACCTTTGGGTTTATAAGAAAAAAAGGAAGACTCAACAGTTCACAAGATCATATTTTGGGACTTATTAGTGCTTCACCCCAAAAATTAGTAGGTTTAAAATAATTCTTTTATTTTTTATATAAAATATATAAAAAAATAAAGAAAAAAAGAAATTTCTGACTTTCAAGTATAAATTGTTGATTTTTTAGTTTTTTTTACTGATTTTTTTGACTTTAAACTAAAATATTAAATTGTCAAATGAGGTTAGGATGAAAATGATAAAAACCGGAAGAAATGAAAAAACAAAAAATAAAATAAAAGTTTTTCTAAGGTAATTAAGCTTTTAATTTTTTTTGTAAAAAATATAGAAAAATGGAAGAAAATTTAAATTTATTATAAAAGTATTAACTTATAATTAGAATTTCTATTTTTTTGTATAATTTTCATCATAATCAAATTCATATGAGAAAATATATTTTCTTTTCCTTTTGTTTTACTTTACTTTTTACTATTTTCACTTTTCATAATTCATTTCTTTCTAATCAAACAAAAAAATTTATTTAATTGTGTAAAAAATAAAATAAAATAAATTTTTATTTAATCTAGCTAAAAATAATTAAAATATTAAAGATATGTTTACTATTGCTATTATTTAGTAAATAATTGAAAAATGGTAAAATAGTCTTTTGTTCATTTATCCTATCTAGTCCGTCCAACCAAACGTTAGATTCATTAAAAATAGTCATTTCCAGACATCTAATCTCATGAAAAAATAAACACAGGATACATATACAATCTAACCAAATAGTCCGGGGGATTCACAGTTCTAGGACTCAAATCCGATGAATTCTAATCCCCTCTTATCCAGTCCGTCCAATTAAGCACACCCTTAATGTATTTTTTCCAAGCATAACACTCCAAAAAAATTCCTTAGTGTAACTCTCTAAAGTAACATACAAAAAAACTCATTAATATACTTTTTCCAAATGTGACACTCCAATATAACATTCTAACATAATACACACAAAAAACTCCTTAGTGTAACACTCTAATGTAATACCAAAAAAAAAAAAAATACTCTTTAGTATACTTTTTTCAAACGTAATACTCCAATATAACACTCTAAAAAAACTCTTTACTGTAACACTTTAATGTAACACACAAAAAAACTTCTTAGTATACTTTTCTTAAATGTAACACTCTAGCGTAACACTCTAAAAAAAAGATGTGGAATTCTTCAAACCATTTCAAAAGGAATACAAAAATTCATTAATAAATTTTGGACAAATGTATAATTTCAAAATGTGAGTATTACGTTTGAAAAAAGTATAATAAGGAGTTTTTAGTGTTTTTGTGTGTGTTACATTGGAACATGTTACATTGGGATGTTACGTTTGAGATTACATTGATTGAAGTGTTATGTTTGTGTTATATTGGAGTGCTACATTTGAGAAAAGTATATTAAGGAATTTTTTTTAATGTTATATTGTTACGTTAGAGAAAAATATACCAATTTTTTTTTTAGTGTATTACATTGGAGTGTTACATTATTAAAGTATTACGTTTTTATTCGTAATGTGGAATTTGTTCTAGAAGAAGAGAAAATCTTGTGTTTGGTGGAGCTTTCCAAATATGATTCCACAACATGATTTGAGTGCTCTGTTTGTTTACAATTTTCAAAAATTGATTCCACACCCACTTTTCAAAACACGTATACTCGGTCATCCTCTCAGACGTCCCCCCGGATGTTCGGCCGGTTGACCAGAACAGTATTCATGTTTTTTTTTTTTGGCACATGTTATTTTTATATTTTAAATAAAAAGTATTTTGGGAATTTTTTTTTTTTTAATTTTTTATGAACTTTGAATAGAATTTTGGGTTGTGTTTGGTTATGAGTTGTAAATTTTTGAATTAATATCGTATGTCACATCGCTCAATTCAAAACTCTTTTCAAAATTTATAACCAAACAAATTTTCCACACTCAAATCATAATTTCAAAACTTACAAACTCAAAATATAATCCTATTCTCAAATCATAATTCTAAAACTCAACCAAACGCAACCCAAGACTTCTATAGTGCAGATTGCCCAAATGTGTAATTTTACATTTGGAGAAACCCACTTTTATTGTTAAAAAATTAAACCTAAACATGTAAGTGACCATCGTTTTGTGTAATTTTCACTTTAATGAAACCTTTAGGTTCATAAGAAAAAATGAAGGACTAAACAATTCACAAGATCACATTTTGAGATTTATTGATACTTCACCCTAAATAATACACTCATCATTTATTTTCATTGATTTATTTCTCATCTAACATATTTGAACTTTCATTATTATCTGTAATATATTATATTATCTTTAATTTTTGTTAATATTCCCAATTTTTAAGTTACACAATTAATCCACCCGGCCAGCTCTTGTCACCAACCTAATTTATTCCGCCCCAATATGATATAGTTGAGGGACGGGAGACTACAAACCCGCCCTATTGCCATGCCAGCACAAATGATGAAACATAGAATTAGAAAGAAGTGTGCACTAAACCAACCACTTATGGATGCTCTTGAGCAAGCACTACAAACAATTATTTATTCATGTCACAGACTCGCAATCATATCAAGGTAAGTCCAATCCAAGGGCAACAACAATCTCTCTCTTTCAAGATCTTTATTTTTACATTCAAACAGAAACATTAACCCAGAATCCTCGAGTGGGACAAGTATTATCTGTGGATTAAAGAAAATAGAATATACATATATTGAGCTCTCTATAGATACAGTTTTCCCTCACCAGCTGACCCCTTACAAAACAAACAAGGAGTGGCCAGCCATTACACAACGGGTTGTCAAGTCAAGAGCTAGAGAGAATAGATGATACGTTCCAAGGGTTGCTAATCACATCCAATGACACTATTGTCTAGTTAGGATCAAACACAAAAAACTTTGATTCATGGAGCTATGACTTGAAATGCAAGGGATAT